GGGTTAATGTTGGACTTGTGGGCTTGGGCAGCACTGGGTTGGGATGTTTTCTTGATGCGCACTTACCCTTTATATAAAACTCTCTCTTATACATGGGCTTCTGTGGATTTGTTTCTCTAAAGTACCCAGACTAAGACAGAAAAGAAAGTAGAGAATATTAAAAACTGAAACAACTTTAAAATGGGTTAAAACTTTCACTGTTACTGAGTCAATGGTCACTCATAGCGATCCCCACGTGGGTTTCTGAGACTGTAACTCTTTACAGGAATAGAAAGCCCACTCTTTCTCCTGTGGAGCTGCTGGTGGTTTTGAACTGCCAACCATGTAGTTTGCAGACTAACACATAACTGCTGCACCACCAGGGCTCCAAAATGGCTTTTAACTGAGATCAAATGATGAAGTGTTACATGTTAACCTAACAAATCTTCAATAATCAACTTTCAATGCTCTCAGACTGATAGCAAGGCTATTAACATCCCCCAAGATCAGAGGGTTTTACTGGAGGCTCAATTCATGTGGGGGAACCTGCAAATGAATTTTGGCTGCCACTGCCATCCACAGCCTCTGCAAATCAAGTGTTCATAATTTAAGTTCTTATACCAATTCCTCCTTTGGATTTGGATTTTATTACTTACAACCATAGATCACACCAGCTGGTTTGCTCTTCCATTTGAGCTTGTTGCCGCTTTACAGAAATGGCTCCTTCTTTGAAAATAAGCCTTTAAGACCCCAGAGACTATTCTTTCTGATAGCTGGACACCATCTAATTTACTTACCGCACTTTGTTATAACACATATCTTCAGTGATCTTTTCATAAGGACGAGTATCAAGTAGGCTATGTCATAAGAACAAATTGTTCTTAGCTTAAGGCTATGATTAAGTGAGAACCCAAAATCCATTCTGGGATCTATGGGTTCTATATGTCTATGGTTCACTTTAGAGACGGCACTATAATTTTTTAATAGATAACATTATAAATCATGCTAAAGGGTCATGGGCTATTCTATTGAGAGTATCATTAATTTAGCCAATAAAATAGAATTTAAAGCACTGTTAAGATAAGGAAATGATACATGTATAGTCTGGTTTTTCAGATTCATTTCATTAAAAAAATGATCCCAACTGAGGTAAAGTCTTCTCTGATCTTGAAGTGGTTTTAAAGATGTCCAAATAAAGGAGTGAGACACAGTTCACAGGTACTGGGTTCATAGAACCTTGACTTCATCTTGTTGTTAATCCTTGTAATAGTGGACTAATATAATATTTCTTCTTTTGGGCTTGATTATCTTCACTCAGCATAAAAGTTTCCAGGTCCATCCCTGTTATGTCGTGTTTCATACCTGAGTTTCAGTAAAACCTAATGTTTCATTGTGTGCATGCACCAGCGTGTCTTTATCCATTCTTCCACTGATGGTCATTTGGGACTGTTCCAGATTCTTCCTACTGTGAACTGCCAGGCCAGGAACATGGGAGAATACACGTCTAGTCCTGTTGTGCCTCTTACTTCTTTGGGGTATATGCACAGCAGTGGCATTGCTGGGTCATATTATATTTCTATTTCCAGTTGTTTTAGCTCATGCCATATCACTTTCCACAATGGTGGTCCATGTGTCAAGTCCACCAGCTGTGCATCAGCGTTCCACCTCCATCTCCATTCCTTCTTCCCACAGATGTAATCAGCTCGAACCACTGACTTTTGCATATATGCTCTTAAATATATTGAGAAATTTTACTTCCAGGCGTAGAGTGCGGACTGAGCGTTAATTAGAAATGTTGTGTGTGAATTTTATCATATGACTTTTCTTTGTAGATTGAGATGCTCATGTGATTCTTTCACCTTCTTTCATTTGTGTGGTTAATTATGTTGGCCGACTTTCTCAGGTTGAGCAATCCTTGAGACCTTGTATGGATCCCACCTGATCCTGATATATTATTTTTTGATATGCAGTTGAATTTTGTTGGTTGAAAAATTTTGTGTCCATATTCATGAATAATATTGGTCTCTGAGTTTGAATAGAATTGGTGACAAGTCTTTGAAGGCTTGATGGAATTCTCTCCATTGAACTGCTCTGAGCTGGCCTATTCTGGTTGTGGTTGTGGGGAGATTTTCAATATCATCAAAGTCGTCTTTTGTTATGCATCTATGTAGATTGTCTCTCTCTATTTCTGTTAAGCAACCTTGGTAGCCCAGTCATTCAAGCTCTTGGCTGCTAACCCAAGAGATGTTACTCAAACTACCAGCCTCATTAGGTGAGAAAAATATGGCAGCTTGCTTCTGTCATTCTGTAGCATAGGGTCATTATGAGATTTTTCTTCTTCTTTTTTTTCTTCCCAGGGGACAGCGTGGTAGCAGCATGCTGAGAGGGATTTGTTTATGATAATTTACCCAGGTAGTTTGTTGCTAGAAATTTGTCAATATATTCTAGATTTTAAAACATGTAAGAATATAATTTTTATAATACTCTGTTATGATCTTTCAGGTTTTTTCTGTTGTAACTTCACCCATTTTCTTTCTTTCTTTTTTTTCTTCTCCTCCTCCAGAGGGAGGGTGGGAGGCCTCAGCTTGGCAATGTCAGATCAGCCCCCAGACCTCAGCGCGCCCTGCCTTCGGGTCCCTTGGTCATGCACCTGTTGGGCACTAACCACGGTGGCTCCTGGGCTCATCAAGGACACGGGTAGGGGCACCACAAGGTGTCAACTGCCCTGTGCCCAGCATGGCATAGCTGGATCCTGACAGGGGAGAGGCAGCTGGGGACGGCAGGGCACAGGGACCTGTGTGTGTCAGACCTTTTACCAGTCATCATGGGTCTCCCATTTTATTTCTTACTTTGATTATTTGTGTCTTTTATTTTTATTTTCCTTACCAGTTTGGACAGTGATTGGTCAGTTTTATTGTTTCTCTTATCTTACATGGTTGATCCATTCTGATGTTTTCCATCTCATTCATTTCTACTCTGATCTTTATTCTTTCTTTTCTCCTGGTGATGATGGACTTCTTTTGCTCTTCAATGTATTTTGTTTTCTTGTTTTGGGGCCAAATTGTTTATTTTGGACATTTCTTCTTTTTGTATGTTTTCATTTATTGCTGTAAAATTTCTCCTGAGCACTGTTTGCTCCTGTTCCAACGTTTAGGTGTGTCTTTTTAATTGCCATTTTTTTCTAGGATTTATTTCATTTTATATTTTAGTTCTAACACCTAAACATTTTTAAGTAATGTGTTATTTAGTTTCCTTGTATTTCTTTTTCCTTGCTCAACCTGTTACTTTGTATTCTTGAGTTGCCCTTTGACATTTTCTGCTCAGTTCTTTTCATTCATAATTTCTTCCAAAACCAACTATTATAATACTCTATAATATTCTTGCAAATTCAGAAATTATTAGTGCCATACTTGCTCTCTTGTGGAAAATACTTAGTATATTTGTTTCCATCACACATTCTTTGCTTTTTAATCTATTTATATATTTGTATCGAAAGTGTGTCCGTGCTAAGCAACATATCGAGGGTCCATGATTTATTTTTTATCCATTCTGCAACTCTTTACCTCATTATATTCAGTGTGGTTATTAATAAGCAAATTCCTGCTACAAGTATGAGATATTGTTATTATTAGTTTGGGGATGGTAAAGTTTCTTTGTTCCCATTTTTGGGGGCACATGAATTATTCCTATCTCTTGTTGTCTTACAAACGTGGAACAGGCTGTCAGGAGAGAGCAGCCCCTGGAGAAGGGCATCGTGCCTGGTAAAAGGAGGGCACTGAAGTAGAAGAAGGCTCTCAACAAGAGGTTGGCATGGTGACTGTGATGATGGGTGTGGAATGGGCGCAATGGAGAGGATGGCCCAGGGCCGCGTAGAGTTTCATTCGGTTGTGCACAGGATCGCTACAGTCAGAACCAACTCCATGGCACCTAACAACATCAACAACAACAAAGGATGCTGTTCTTGTTGTTTTTGTGTTTACTGAGTCCTGGTGATTTTCTTCTGTTTAATTTGGGGAGTAGATTTATTAATCTTTTCTGTGGTTACCCTGAGTTTCACATTTATTCTTCCACGATTAAAAAGTATGTTACTTCTTGAAATAGCCTGGATTTACTCTCCATGTGGAAGTTCTATAACTGTGCCATTTACCTTCCCTTTCATTTTGAAGTTGTAGCTGTTTACATGTTAACATTTCTGGAACGCCGTTTTGCAGCTTTACATTACTTTTGAGCAGTTTTTATCTGGGATGAGAGCTGAGTGAGGTCATGTGCTGACAATGAGTCATAAATCGTCTCCACTGTCTTCATCCAGTCTCTATTTCTGCTTGGTAGTCAGTCTAATTCTTCATCCTTGTATTTTTAGTTTAGGGTTCCATTTCACTTGGTTTCTTGAGTTTTGTTGTAGAGAAACTCTATGGTGTGTCTGACTGTAAAACGGGTGTGGAGGGGCATAGCTGATTTCCTCTGGCCCCTGCCCCATACTCATTGCCAGAGGCAGAGGCCAGACATGCTTCCAACCTATAGTTTTCTTCAACTATTCTGACACTAATCATTCCTCCCACAGCACCCCACTTCTATGCTGGGTTCCAAAATTCATTCCAGGGGCCATACAGAACTCCTAGCTAACACACACTGTAAGATTTACTGGGGGTAGGGGTAGAAGACTACAACAAACTAGGATAAGTAAACAGTAAAGGCATAGTCACTGGTCCAGAGTAACTTTTCTCTAGTCCTCAGCCTTTCAGCCGTGTGCTTTTGTCCCGGGTCCTCTGCTTTTATGGCCAAGAAGCCAAGCCAGCTGCTCTGCTTCCCAGTCTCGGCCCTGCTGTGCTGCTCTAGCTCCTGTATCCTGCTTACCTGCACTGCTCCTGGTTGCAGCCTCTGCCACTTCAGACAGAGATATTGAATATGTTCCCCTTCCGAAGGTGCTGGGATTTCTCTCTCTTTACCAAGATAGCACATCCTTACAGCCAGAGAAGTGGCAACTAAAACTGATGGCACCCTGACACCCCACCCCCTGCCATTAGTGTTACCCATGCCAATTTGCATATATGTACTTATTGTAAGGTAGTCGAGAGGAGCCAGAGACCAAATCAGTTGAATTTGAGCAAACAGGCTTTATTGGGGAGAAAAACGCAGCCTGGGCGAAGTCCCACGGTCCACAGTATCTGGACCGAGGGAGTTGCACTCCAGACTACAGGGATGGTGTTTATATAGCCAGGGAACATGTGACTGGGCTGGCTTGAGTCCATATAAGGTAAAGTAGTCAGGGATTGGGAGATACAGGTATGTCCGGGTTTCTGGAATGTAAGGTGTTTTCCTGGTTCCGGGTCTAGAGCGGTGGGCAGAGAACAAAGCGGGCACTGAGCCAAATGGGCTGTGAACAAAACAGGCCACTAGCAAAATGGGCCGTGAGTAAAAGAAAGAAAAAAAACTTGCAAAGCTGCTTTATATAGCCAACTCTGGTCAGCTCCGCACGGGTGGGGGAGATCCAAGGTCACTTGCTGCTAGAAGCTGGCCTGCTATTGATCTGGCCATACACCCAACCAGTCATGTGATGGGTGTTACAGAGACATGGATCCCCTCCCCCTATAAAAAGAATCCTAGAAAACCAAGTTTACTGCCATCAAATCAATTCCTAAAGGGTAGGGTAGAATTTACCCCTCTGGGTTTCTGATACTTTAAATCTTTATGGTAGTAGAAAACGTTGTCTTTCTCCCATGGAGTGGCTTTGAACAGCTGACCTGTGGTTAGTAGCCCAACTCATATCCACTATGCCACTCGGGGTCTTGAAACATGGATAGAAGCACCATATTAAGAAGTTTCACTCTACCACACTGACCATGTCAGCATCTTGGGTCAGGCTCATGTTATTATATATTTTTACTTATTCATTCTTATTTCCGAAGCTATTAATTTCTTTATACATTAGCAGTGAGGGAATAAAATAGCACACGATCTGTCACAATATTGAATTTCATGCTGGTTAGTAACAGTACTGCGTAGCAATTAGGAGCCTGTCTCTAGAGGTAAGCTGTTTGGAGTGAAAGAACAGCTCTGTCGTTCACCATCTTTCTAATTTTGAGTGTAGGCCTTAGTATCCTTATCTGCAAAATGGAGCAATTACTAGAACAAAGTATAATAGAACTGCATATGTCATTAGGGTTAAGTGAGAATAGCTGAGCACAATTTCAGGCACACTACAGGCATGAGCGAGTTCTATCTAATTTTATTATATTATCAGCATGTCACATATCATGTAGTTAGTCATCCTTGGATGATATAAAGAAGTCATTTCCTGTGACAGTGCACTGATGAGGGGGATTTATCTCCATTCTTCAAATGCTCTGCAGTAAATTATAACTGTCATCATTTTCCAAGCCCTTCAGTCACAAAGTTAGTGAAGGCTAAGTAGCACAATCATAAAGTGAGGATTAATTCTGGCTCTATAGATTCGTCTATGCAAGGGTATTAAGGATGCAACTCTGACCCTTTAAGCGCTACCTGAATGATGAGAATTGTAATATGTCCTGGAAAATCCTACCTATTGAACACTTACTCAGCCAACAAATGGACCTACTCTATACCAAACACCATTCTAAAAAGTGGTGCTAGAAATGCAGCAGCATTAAGATTATATAATTCTGTTCCCACATTAAAAAAAATTGTTGTTCAGAATATACACAGCAAGCGCATCAGTTCCACCATTTTCACATGCAGAATGCTTCAGCAGTGATTACATGTTTTGAGTTACGTGTCCATGCACACTGTCTGTTTCAGAGTTGCCCCTTCCCCATCAACCCCACTGTCACTTTGCTCCTGTATAGATTATTCATAAAAGAGCATAAAGCTCAAGGCAGACTTAAAAAAAAATCTACTTAAGCTAGTCCATTGTTTCCCAAAGTAGGTGGTACCACCCGCTAGGGGTGAGTGGGGTGTGTGTGTGAAGGAGGGCGGGGGCTGCCAAAACAGTTATCTACATTTTATGTGGAAAATGGGCTATAGCACAAAAGTTTTTAGTTGCCAGGGTAGTGCTAATTTTTGTTCTAAAAAGGCATGATAAGTTCTGGAACTCGTGAACTATTGTTTGATATTTAAGACTTCAGGGGATATTTTAGATTAAGGTTTAACAATTGTTCTTGACAATAGTTTTAGAGATTCATCCAACCTCAAAGCCTCTAGAATTCCTCAAATTCATGAGAATTTGAAATTTTGCTACAGACATCCTAGCTTTTGATTAGGATTCTTTTATAGAACCCTTGACCAAAATGTTAGATAAAGGTAGCTAGACAGCGTCCAGTTCCTCTGGTCTCATGGCAAAGGAGGCAGTTGTTCCTGGAGGTGAATAACCACAGTCTATCTTCCACCCCTGTGCCCGTCTCTCCTTCTTCCTCCGTGGCTCCAGAAGAATAAAGAACAATTACTGTGACTTGGAGAGTCACTTGTAAGCTTTGAAAGGTCGATGAACTTGGAGTTAGAATAGAAGCACTGAATCGCTATTAAAGCTATAACTTAGAGGTCCCATAAAATGATGAGCCTAAATCTCCACGTTCCAATTATTCATATATATTTGCAAATATTCCTTCTCATGTTGACATCTGTGCCATCAGTAATGAAGTTCCCATTCACATCACTTTTGTCGACTCTACTTTGAGAAGACAGCTCTCCTGAGTCACATTTGGAGTACTTTCTGGACCGAGGCACGCAAATTCTGCCATGAGGTCTGACAATGCTCCACTGCTGCTCAGGAGGGTCTCAGGGTCGGACAATGTTCCACTGCGATTCATACGATTTCCGGTAGCCAATTCCTCAGAAGTGGGCAGCCTATTCCTTC